TGTTCAAAAATGCCTTTCTAAAGAAACCATTTAGACACTTTTGGCAAGAGGCAAATCCCATTAGCAATTGTCTAAGGAATCCTGGGCTCTCAGAACACGGTATTCTTTGCAGGGAGGCTTAGAGCCCACTCTCTCTTGGGCTAGGGGTGCTAGCAGGTTTTCTTCCTGTCTCCTCTGTCCTTGGGATTTGGGGGGAAGACAGCCTAAGGCAGGGATGGCAACCCTTTTAGAGGTTTCCATGATACAAACAGCCCACTGTGGCCATAGACTCACCACCAGTGGCCTAAGGGCTGTGTTCAGCCTAGACTGATGCCCATCCTGCCCAGCAGGAGAATGGCCTCTGGTCGGGGAGAAGCCTGGGCAGGGGGACTAGTGGGTAGCTTTTGGCCTTTGGCAAGGAGGCCAAAGTATGAGAGCCCTTTTCTGTCCCAACTAGTCTTCTGTTTCTTTCCCTTTTTGTCCATCTTTCTCCTCCTGCTTTCTTCTCCTCTTTACTTGTTCCCTTTCCTCCTATTCTAGTTCCTTCCTTTCTCCTCTTGCCTTTTCTCTCTTCCTTGGCCCTTTCAAAAAATAAATTTGAGTGAGAATCTGTAAATATAAATAAAAACGACACATTTGGAGCTTTTACTTTTTCATCAGGAGAGGACAAGCAGACCATTCTTGCATATTTGGGTAAATCTCAGTATGGAAAGGGCTGGTGTAGGCTGTTTGGAGCAATCCTATTAGCTGGCAAGGGCAGGCTGGGGGCAGCCTTTGTGTGTCATTAATTCTGAGAATACAAAAAAGAAGAAAAAACATGAAAGGACAGAGAATCATGTAATAAACACCCATGTGGCTACCCTCAACTAAGGTGGCGCTCTCTCTCTCTCTCTCTCTCTCTCTCTCTCTCTCTCTCTCTCTCTCGGATTGAACCCAGGGCTCTGTGCGCACTAGGCAATTGCTCCACCACTGAGCAGCACCCCAGCCTCTCATTGTCTTTCTTGCCTCTTTGTCTCTGTTAGCTCTTTCTCCACTTAATGGTATACTCAGATCTAAGCCATAAAAAGCCCCCTCACCTGCTAAGTGACTGTCTCAGTCTACTGGGGCTGCATAACAATGTGTTATGATTGATACTGGTATTTTTGCTTGCTCAGGTATTTAAAATATAAACCAATGAGTATAAGGTCCTGTGCTTAGTTCCTAGCACCCCAATAAAATGAAATAAGGACATACATGAATGGGGAGCATCATTACAGACAAAGTCAAGAGTTCCTTTACTCTCTTGCCTTCTTCCTCTTTCCTGGGGGACACTGCCATACATTGCACGTGTAACTTCCTGAGCTGTTTTTACATTTTTCATATACATATGTCTCCATGAATAATATATAGTTTTTCTTGGTGTAGCTTTTAGAAGCATACTTAAAATGCTGTTATGCTATAATAGCATTTTTTTGCAACTTGCTTTTCTCACTTGCACTGTTCCCAAGATTGACTGTATTTATAGTTCATTCATTTATCTTCAGTGCCGCTCCATTGTTGATCCTAGACTGTATGTATTGTAAGAGCACTGCCATACATGCCTTTCTGCCTGTTTCCTGGCACAGGTACTAGCCTGAGGAGCTTTGGATCTGCTGCCAAGTTCAAGTAGGTCCAGGCTGTCCCTTTGATCTCTCTTGGGTTTCTTCAAGTTTCCCCTCCCAAACTGCCTGCTCCTTCCCATCAGCTCTCTAAGCAAGGGAAAGTTTTGGGGATACAGTGAGCAGATCTGACAGTTGATTTGGCCGAGGCTTGGGTTTGTATTTGTCATCCCCCACCCCAGCCCTAGGGGCCTTCGGTTCTGATTTTTCATTCTGTGTTAATCTGCATATTAATGACCCCATTTAAGAAAACCCAAATGTATCTTATCTAACCCACATTCCTGCCTTACTAGCACAACTGTTTCCACTTTTCTGAGTCCCTTGGTCTCTGTTCACAGGCACACACTTCCACATAGCACTTGTAGTCTACATTTTTCCCTTAATATACAACAAAACTCTTCTGTGTTGCTGCATTCCTCACAATGGCCATTTTCATGATTGCATGGTATTTTACCCTATGAGGCCCCCAAAGCTGTGCTTCCAAGCAAGGATCTGCTTTTCCTCCAACTTCCTCCTCCCAACTTCCAGCAATCTTTGGGGAATGAATACCATCCCCTCTGTTCATACTGCTGTCCAGCTGCAGAGAGAGCTAGGTTACAAACCCCTGGCTGATTCCCTTTCTCCCTGCGGTTCTGGAGGAGGTCAGCTGTTAACCCCATGTACCCCTTTCCCTTCTCCCAGTCTCCCAAAACTGTGTTAGTAATAGAAAAATAAACTAAGCTGGGTGTGGTGGTGCATGTCTATAATATCAAGTACTCAGCAGTTAAGGTGGAAGGATTGCAAGTTTTTGAGCCCAGCCTATAGACTGTACTAAACACTCACAGATAGGTTCCCCCAGGGGAAAGGAGTTTGGAGCAGGCTACTTAACCTGTGGCCTTTCTTCTCTGCTTTGAGGAAGATGGGACTCTTGGTTACTGCTCCAGGTCCAGTCCCAGGCCTGGGGGTCAGAGGTTAGCTCTCTCTAGGAATATAAGGTATATGTTCCAAGCCCCCAAATTACGCTTAGGTTGGTTGAAGTAAAAGACATCCCCACCCCGGTACTGGGGATCAAACTCAGGACTTTGTGCTTGCCAGGCAGGCATGGCACCACTGAGCCTGTTTTGTTTTTCTTTTTACCAGCCCCATTCTTGACAGACGTTGCTGTTACAACTCTGGCTATGTTGACACTGTCTCTTCTGTTCTTTAGCTCACTACCTCCAAGCCAACCTGTAACCCAGGTTACAGAGTGTGGTAACCCATGCCTATGATCCTAGCACTCAGGAGACTGAGGCAGGAAGATTGCAAGTGAATTCAAGGCTATGGGCTACATAGTAAGTTCAAAGCCAGCCTGAACTACATAGTGAGACCCTGTCTCAAAAAAAAAAAAGAAAGAAAGAAAGAAAGAGAAAAAGGCTCCAGTCCTCTGTAACTCTGCCTGCTCACAGCTAAAACCATCAGCTTAGAGATGACTTTTTTAAAAAATGAGCTGATTGGGCTAGGGATTTGGCTCAGTGGCAACCACGCCTGCCTTGCAAGTACGTGGTCCTGAGTTCGATCCCTGGTACCAAAAAGAAATAAAAAGTAAAAATGAGCTGATTTATAATAATGGTGAATGGTTATGGAGTACTTACTGTATACTAGGTACTCTGCTAATAGTATATTACACTAACATATTCCACCCTGCAACCAATTAAGATAGGAAACTCATTATCCTCATTTGGCAGCTGTGGAAATGAGGCCTGAAGAAGCTGAGGAATTTGCCTGGATCTTGTCTTCCTTAGAATCCTGACTTGTGATTCCCCCAGTCCGCTGACCCACCAGCTACCCCAGCCAGCCAAGCAGGGAATGAGTTCTCAAGCCAAGCAGCGATGAGTGCCCCTTTTTAATTCCCTGCAAGAAGCCCCTCACTGCCAAAGCTTTACTGGGATGTGGTAATGCGGAGCTCTCTTGCACAGCTGACTCAAGTCCAGGATCTGATCCCAGGGATAGAGACACACCTGATTTGGGCCCAGGCTTCTGGGGAAAACGCAGTTGTCGGGACAAGACTGGAGAGGCACTTGACCCCTGAGCTCTGACACACAACTTCTCAGGAGTCCTATTCATTGCCAGGTGTATCTTAAAAGTCCTCAGGGAATGCTGGCTGCATGTGTTTGTGTGTGATGTGGCAGGAGTGGCAGTCCTAGGGCCCATTTCTCTCTGGACCTGTTCCCTGACACGTCAGCCACTTCTCCTAATAGGTGTGAACATAATGGATTCGTTTATTTCTTTAGAAGACAGGCCCACCTCTGCATGCCCACTGCGCTGGCTGCCACAGCAGGTTACAAAACACCAGGGCCGTATTTCTGATACTTTGCCATTCCCCCATGGAGAAGTAAAATGTCAGTGGAGCAAATTACTGACCGAATACTTTGGAATCTATAAATATTAAATTGCCTTGGCTTTCATATAAAATTCAAGCTCTGTTCTGGCCTGAGAGGAAAGGTGCCGGGATAGCTTTGGGGGGAGGGGATGGACTGCCAGTGTAGAGACAAATGTCCCCAGAGTGCAGGGAGGAGGCTGACCCTGTGGTGGGTTGGGGGCAGCCGAGGCCAGAGGAGAAGCAGCGGGGAGCGGGGTGTGAAGAGCAAAGAAGTGCAGACACAACAGGACTGTCCCCCAGGAGGGACCATCCTCCATTTTTGCCAGAGGCCTCATGGTTGACAGTGTGTGTTTTGCAGGCAAACTACATTACATTTCTTACTCCAGCCCAGAATCCCCTCTGGGGATTGCCCTTCAGCATGTACTGGCACCAGGGCTGGGCCTGGGGTAGGGGACTTAAAAATTGTCCTCTTTCCTGGCTTCTGCTGCTACAGCCTTGGACCCAGGCTCCTCCTCCCCTGTATGCCCCTCCTCATCGTGCCCTGCCTTCCTGCCTCTATTCCCATCAGTTGTCTTGTGTTTTGCGTGTGCGTGTGTGTGTGCGTGTGTGTGTGTGTGTGTGCGTGTGTGTGTGTGTGTGGTGTGTATTCTTATGCCACCTTTATCAGTTTTAGACTCCCTACAAGTGGAAGGTCTTCTGTGTCTTTAAGGAGTCACCAGTGACCACCTTTTCCAGGGTACCAAGACCTTGTGTTCAGTCTTCTTCTGCCTCACAGGGCTAGGGATCAAAATAAGGACCTTTTGCATATTAGGAAGCACTTTCACCATGTTGTGAGGACACCGAGGCCCAGGCAAAGCAATTGCTCAGGGATTCTAGAGAGGTTCCACACAGACACAAGGAAGTTTTATAGTTACTAAGCAGCCAAGCTGGATCCAGCCCAGGGCTTTCAGGCTCCAGGCCTGGATTCTTAGTTGGGAGTGTGCCTGGGGTTCCCAACCTGGCTGCCTCTCCTGAGCTGGTGGCCAGATGAGCACTCTTTCTTGCAGGCATCCCCACGCTCATCGTGCTGGACCCACAGGGGGAGGTGATCACACGGCAGGGGCGGGTGGAGGTGCTCAACGACGAGGACTGCAGGGAGTTCCCGTGGCACCCCAAGCCCGTGCTGGAGCTCTCTGACTCCAATGCTGTGCAGCTCAACGAGGGCCCTTGCCTCGTCCTTTTTGTAGGTATGGAGCTCAGTGGGGGCCCCAGGGTGGAAATGGGCCGGGATGGCCTTGCTTGGGTATTGCCTGTCCTCTCAGCCTCTTTCTGCCACTAACTGTGTTGAGCTTGGGCCTTTGTCTCTCTGCAGCAGCCTCACTTTTGACCCCAATGATTTATTCATGGTTCTCCCTCTGGGGGAGGTGGTCTGGGAGCTGTTGCTGATGTGCTTTTTCTCCTAGTTGTTCCCGGCTGCCAGCTGGGCAGAGTAGGTTAGGCCTGGAGGATGCCCCCAACCCCCCATGAACAGAGCCATTGTTGGAAAGAGGCAGGGCTGCACATACAGCAGCTGCAGGGGGCTGGGCCCCCTCAGGCCATGGCTCACCCCAGGCTGCCTCTGAGCTCTCTGTGTTCCGACTGTTCTGGGACTGCAACAGCTGGCCCGGGAGCTCAGGGAGGCAACCCTGGCTCTTCCATCCTCACTGACCACTTAGGTGGCTGCACTCATACCGGGCAGAAGGACATCAGAGCATCCACTTTAGGATCCCTTATCGCCCAGTGGAATAAGCAGATTGCCTTTGCAAACTGAGCAGAGCATAGTTCTAGCCAAGAACTGTGTTGCTCCCAGCCTTGGGACTTGCTCTCCTGCAGCTGAGTTGCTGTACTAGACCATGGCTGAGATGGGCCCTGCCTGCTTTGCTAAGGAATTGGGGAGCAGCATCCTCCTCCATTATCTAAGGTCTGGTTTGGGGAGCACCAGGAGGGGAGCTAATAAGCAGACACAAGGGAATTCTTAAGCAATTGGACTTGTAGGCTGGGTCTGGGCTGGAGGGGTGGGGAAGACCCCCTGGAAAGAGGCAGCCTTGGGGAGTCTCTATGTTGGGGCTTTTCTGCCATCCTAGGTTTAGGGAGGAAACAATTCTGAACCCAGGGACAATTAGGTACCTCATGGCCATTAGCAGATATGTGGAAAGAGGGCCCCAGAGAGGCAAGTTAGATAACATCACAATTTAGGGGATCCAGAGAGTGTCTTTCCATCTCTTCGTGTACTGAGGGCCTCTTGGGTGGTGCAGCACTGCTCAGTGAAATCCCTGTATAGGAGCCTGCTGTCCCCTTCCCCTGCTTTTGCCACTTGGGGATGTTGCCCTTACTCCTCTGTGACCTGGGACCTTGTGTGTGTGGCTGTTCCTGTTGGGGGAGCCTAATCTATGCTCTCCTGTGCAGTTGGCCTCCCCCTCCAGGCCAAGTCTGGTGCCAGCTGTGAAGGTGCCTACCACCATCAAAGCTACAGACTGGCCCTCATTCCTGCTTCCCTCTCTGACAGTACTGCCATTTTCACTGCAAGGTCAGAGGTCCCAGGTCATGGCTTCTCATTCTGTGATGGAGCGAAAAACCAGGAGGGACCTCATGTCCTTGCTTAGGGGGAAGCCCAGCTTCCAGGGTGGGTCTGTGAGGAATTCAGTGATGAGGTGTCTGCCCAGAGCACTAGTAATACTCACTGAGGCAGGTTGTTCCTGGTGAGCCAGTGCAGGAAAGTGCTGTATTCTTTGCTGCTGCTACACACATATATGCACATGTGTGTAAACACACTCTGCTGCACACAAGAAGTAGACCTGTGTCTAAGAAAAAGTTCTTTTCCACTCAGGGGCTGCTCAGGTCTTTCTGTAGCTCAGGCCCACTTGGTGGGTACCACCATTTAACAATCTAGAGTTTCCCATCTTTTTCTGTCTTCTTCTGTCACAGATTCTGAGGATGATGGAGAGTCTGAGGCAGCCAAACAACTGATTCAACCAATAGCTGAGAAAATCATTGCAAAGTACAAAGCCAAAGAGGAGGAGGCACCACTTCTGTTCTTTGTGGCTGGGGAGGTAAGTGTGGAATGGGGTCTGGCCCTGGCAAGGCTGGCTCACATGGGGACTTTCAGGACTTGAGTGACACTGGCCTTGAGATTTGAAGGGACCTCTGGGTCTAGGTTGACTCTGCCTTAGACAAATGTGGAAGAAAAGGTGTGTTCGCTGAGGAAAACCACTTCCTACCGCTGCTGCTCCGTGCTTCCTTCCTGCCCACTCGGTAGGTAAGAACAGTGAGAAGCCCTCTCAGGGCTGTTACTCACCCTGGCTGTGGGGGAGACCTCACCACACATATTCACCATTCACTCTGGCCATGCAGGGCTAGGTCAGAAGAGGCCCTGGATGCTTTACACAGTGGAAGATTGTTAATTCCTCCACACCAGCCTGCACAGTAGCCTTCGCCCATTGCAGGGATCCCAAATGGCTATAGCTGGGGTCCACAGTCACCAAGCCAAGTCAGAGAGAGCTTAAATTAGAAGCTGTTGCTGTTTCCAAAGTTCAGCATCCAAGCCCTGGCCCTCTGTTGCGCTGGCCAAAACAGGCAACTTGTCCCAGGGTGAGAAAGCAGGCCCTGGCGTGGAGCCCTCTGCATAGGTGCCCGTCTGCCCTGAAGTGTGAGAACCTGCATCTCGCAGACACCGCTGTTCTGCAAGATGGCCACACAGCGCAGGCGCACTGCTTGCTCCCTGACGCGAACCCTCCGCGCATGCTCACTGCCTCTTACCCAACCCTGGCGCCCCCTGAAGCAGGCTTTCAGCAATGCTCTGAGGCCGTCCTGTCCTGTGTGCACCCGTCTACCTCCAGTTGGTCAGAGCCCTGGCTCATTTCATGCTGGTTGAATCTCAGGAGAGGCATGGGGAAGACACCCTGAACCACCTATTCATCACCTCAATAGCCGACCCTTTGGGGCCCCTCGAAGGCAGCTCCAGTCGCCCTGCCCAGCCCAGGGGTGGAGGGGAACAAAGAGGGTTCACAGGCCCTGCCTCAGGGCTCACCAGCCGCTGCACACACAGTGCAGTGAGCTGCTCTGCATGTATTAAACTCTAACCCCTGGAGAATGGCTGGGAAGAAAAGATGGGTGCAGAACAGAATGGGCTGAGCGCTGTGGGGCGGGGCTTTGGAAATGAGGCTGAAAGGAGCATTTGCAGGTTTTCAGGATCCCAGGCACCCAGCCAAGTGCTTCACCTGCCATCTCCTTTGTATCTCACCTCTCTGGCTGGGAATTTAGTCATTGTTATATCTCACCAAGGAGGAAAGTAAAACCTTGACAGGTTGAGGGACCCCTGCGCTCCCTGCAGGGTGGCTGTGGGTACTGTACTGGTGCTGGCTCATCCTCACATCCACCCTCGGCAGGGAGCCTCTGTTAAATCTACCCGGCCCAGAATGGAACCTGGGCTTGGAGAGGTGTCTTGCTAAGGTCACACAGGAAGTAGGCAGCAGAGAGGGGGCTGAGGTGAGGACCCAGTGGCTCCGGAAGCAGAGCTCTTCCTCCTTTGGTCCATGGTCTCTGATAAATGGACTCAGTCATGCCTAAAAGGAGGAGGGGAGGGTGAGGGCAGAAGGAAGGCTCCCTGGACCCAGAAGGCTGGGCAGTGGTGGCTGTGTCATCCACTGTTCCAGTCCCCGAGTGCTCCAGTCTTGCTGTGCACTTCATCAAGGCTTCTGACTTTGATGGCTTTCTTGGTCCATTCTCTGTCCTCATGCTCTGAAGCAAAGCAGCATGGAAGAGGAACAGGGAGCTGGAACATTGGGCATCGACTGAACCCAGGACTCTGGCCTAGGGTCAAGGGAGCACCTTTTTTTCTGCCTTGCTCCTGTGCCCTGTGGTAGACAGAATTTAGCCCTTCTGAAGCCTTAGTGAAGGTTAGAATTCATCTCCCTGTTGTTTGCTCAGAGGGACATGGAGAGGGGAGGCAGTGGAGTCCTGGGCTTGGTCTAGGCCTCCTAATGGGAATGAGATGTGCAGTACTTGTCCAGGTGCCTCCCCTGTTTATCATGCAGATTTTTTATTAGCCCGTACAGAGGCGCTGATTGGGTGAAGATTGCCAGAGATGATGAATCACCCAACATTGCTGGGAAGTGCATAATGTTTTAGAGGAAAGAAAGACTATCACTAACAGTCTTCCTAAAGATTTGCTTTTTGAGAAAGTTGGTTTGGGTTTGTTTGTTTGTTTTTTGTCTCAGAAATCAGTGAGCTGTAAAAATGCCACCTCCTCATCCCCATTTAAAGCCAGAAATAATATAAACCCTTTCTTCACAGGCAACTCAGGATTTTCATTAAGTTTATTATTTATTTATTTTGTGACACTGGGGATTGAACCTAGAGCTTTTTCACTGAACTGGATCCCCAACCCTTTTATTTTTTATTTTGAAATAAAGCCTTGCTCAGTTAAGTCACCTGAGCTGGGCTGGAACTTTTTTTTTTCCCAGCACCGGAGACTGAACTCAGGAACTTGCGCTTGCGAGGCAAGCAGCGGAGCCACTGAGCTAAATCCTCAGCCCTGGGCTGGAACTTTTAATCCTCCTGCCTCTGCCTCCCAAAACACTGGGATTACAGGCATATGCCACCACATCTGGTTCTTTAAGTTCAAAATATTTTCCATTTTATAGCAAAATAATCCAAGAATGGTAAAGTCTATTTCTGTTACCTATCAAATGAGGGTCAGTAGTATGAAATGTCAGCCCAAGTGGTCACTCCCTGACAAACCTTCTCATCGTTGGATTTGTGTTTGTTTTTTTTTTTTTTTTTTTTTTTGGTACCAGGGATTGAACTCAGGTCCTTGTGCTTGTGAGGCAGGCAGCAGAACCACTAAGCCAAATCCCCAGCCCTAGCTTTTATGTTTGAACAAGGCAGTACCTGATATGAGAGTTCACCTGGACCACTGGTCGGAATAGGTGAAAAGTGCCAGCTCCTTTCTCAGACAAATGCAGCCAACCAGTGAAAACTTTAGTGTGTAAGCAGCCGTCTGGTGAGGCAACTCCTACCTTCTTTGAAACCACAGTGTGGAAGGTAGTGAGTCATTTCTATTTAAAACCACTCCAAATTGAAGTCCAGCTGGCCTCAGATAATCCACAGAGGTGGCTAACAATAATTGAGAGCTAATTGCAAAAATAAGCAATCAAGCCAGACTTGTGGCATGTACTGGTAATCCTAGCTGCCAGGGAAGCTGAGGAGGGGAATCATAAGTTTGAGGTTAGGCTAGGCAATTTAGCCAGACCCTACCTCAAAATAAAACATACAAGGGCTAGGGATGTAGTTTAGCGGTACTGCTCACAGGCAGTCAATCCTCAGTACCACACACCACATAGCACACAAAAAAGCAAAGCCAGAAAGGAATAAATATGAGAAAAGAAAAAAATGGAAACAAAGTCTTTGTAAATAGGGAGGCATGGAGGGGTGAAAGAGTGGGCAGGGGAATGGGGAAAAAAATAATAACCAAGATATCTTATATAAAGGTACAAGTTTCCAATAATGAATGTCAGTATATTGTATACCTATAATGTACCAATAAAATTAATGGGGGGAAAAAAAGAAAGAAAAAGCAAAGCCAGGCATGGTGATACACACTTGTAATCTCAGCCCTCAGAAAGTTGAGACAGGAAGATCACCAAGTCTGAGGCCAGCCTGGGCTGCCTCAATCAAAGAGCATCACATTTTTAAAAATCAGAGGGCATTTTAAAGTTACTTTCATGCTAATAAAGACAGAGACTCACCTATGGCTCAGGGGATGCAGAGGGAATTTTACAAAGCAGTGGGCTTCTCCCTAAGGCAGGGTGGGGTCACCTTGCCTTGCAGGGAGGGGCGCTGTCCATGTCTTCTGAGGAGAATGGGCTCCTCAGGGGACTCTTTTTAAAACTTACTAGTTTTCTCTCTCCTTTGGTGACTTCCAGGATGATATGACTGACTCACTGCGAGATTACACCAACCTACCCGAGGCTGCCCCTCTGCTCACCATTCTGGATATGTCCGCCCGGGCCAAGTACGTGATGGATGTGGAGGAGATCACCCCTGCCATTGTGGAGGCCTTTGTGAATGACTTCCTAGCAGAAAAGCTCAAACCAGAGCCCATCTAGTGGAGCTCTGGGCTCCTGAGCCATTATTTAAGACTCAGTCTCCTCCTCCTCCTTCCCTTTTTCTCCTCTGCCCTTGGACTTTACCACCATGTACTGAATCACACAGCCCAAGAGTCCAACCTCTCTGTGGTGCCTTGTTTCTGCGTTAATTCCTCAGCCAGCACCCAACAGTGCACATCCACACAGCAGCAGCAGAACCCACCGTGTTGGGAGACTGCTTGGGATGTGTGCAGGTGACATAACCTAGCTAAAACAGGGACTGCAGCACTCTCTCCAGTTCACTTGTCATCTCTTGTGAAGGCACTGTTATGGTGAGGGACAGCAGATGGGGGCTCTTACTCTGGGGTCAACACACATACACAGCACCCAAGACAGCTGGAAGGGAACTGCTTGGTGACAGGTGCACACAGGTGAAGCAGAGAAAGAGCCGTAGGCTCTGCAGGCACCAGCTAAGAGCTGTTGGTGAGAGCAAGTTTTTCTGGGGGACCTCATCTTTTTGGTCCTAGGTGAAAACAGCAGCTTGTCAGTGGGTTCTTGGGCAGCAGGCCTCCAAATCTAAAAGGAAGCTCATGGGTTTTGGGGTGAGAAAAATGAGTAGCTATGGTAATGATTCATATAGCAATTGCTTACTTTTATTGAGCTCCTACCATGTGACTAGAGTTTGTAATTCCTTTCCTACCTCTTTCTTCTTTGCTATTAACTTTCCCCTAATTTCTGCCTGCTGCTGCAAATAGCTCCTACTGTCTTGGAATTTTATTAATGAATTCTTTTCCTTGGGCTTCTTCCCAAGATACCGGGCTCTGAGTTCTTAGGGGAGCTCTGCCAAGCTGGCACAGACCTGCCTCTGCCCAGCTCTGTGCCTGAGGCTTCTGGACCTCTGCCAAGGCACCTGCACCCCCTTGCTGTTACCCTTGTCATACCCTTTTCTTTTCAAAGCAACACTAAGAAGCAACAAGAATTTACCAGAAGCCAATCTTTTACCTAAAAAGAAGCTGCAGTGGAAGCTGGTGCCCTAGGGCAGGAGTGGGGGCAGACAGCAGGCAGGACGAGTTGGTCTTGGGCCCCCTTTGTTGGGCTCAGGTAGGTTGGCTTCTTACTTGAGCTGAACTAACCACAAAAAAGGGAACCAACAATGCCCTTAGGCTTTGAGGGTGGAGGGTTTAGGCCTAGGGACTCACAAGGGCTTTTGCCTGTCTCAGTCAGGTGTCAGGGTCTTCAAAAAATCCTGGGCGTTACCCTCAGCTTCACTCAGCACTTTGCCAACCAAAACCATTTATTTGTAAAACCCAGAGCTATTGACACTGTCGTTACTTACTGAAATGGATTGTTGGTTTGTAGTGCAGAGGTATAAAATCAGTTGGTAATTAGACTATTTGATGTTGCAGCCTGAAATGCAATCACCTAGTAAGAAATAAAACAGGCATCTCTGGACATTACCATCCACTTGGCCTTCCCTGATCTATTGGGGTGGCCAGAGACAACCTCTGGTGGTTATGTTCCAGGATTTTCAAGAATCCCAGGAACTGGGGCTGGCGATGTAGCCCATTGGTGGTGGAGACTTGCCTAGCAGGGGCCTAGCAGGCCCTCAATTCATTTCTTGGCATGGGGTGAAGAAGATGTGGGGGGATCCTAAGAATTACCTTGGCCATCTGTCAAATCTTGATTCCAGAAGCCAGGAAGTTCATTTGGATGAGAGTGCCAGAAGAAGATCCCTTCTGGAGCTCTGGCCACCACCTCTCCTGGTTTGCCTTGGCACTTGGAGGGTAAATTCCCAGATTGCAGAAGTCACTGTGGACATTCCCGTGGTCTCCAGTCCTGCAGGGGAGCTAAGGGCTCTGAAATCTGAGAAGGCTGTGGGGGGGTGGGTTCACACAAGACCTAACTCGGTGTCTTAGTTACGTTCTTGTTGCTCAGGCACAATACCCAGGACCCACAACCTAAAGAAGTTCATTTTGACTCACGCGTTCAGTCCACAGTTTGCTGGCTCCAAAGCAGGATGGCATGGCAGAGAAGCATAGTGTAGGGAAAACTGCTCATGTCATGGCAGCCAAGAAGCTGAAAAAATAAGAGCCACAGAAGGAGAAACACCCTTCCTGGTCACACCACCAGTGACCTGCCTCTCCGACAGGCCCCACCTCCCAGCAACAAGTCAGCTGTATCACTCCCATCACAATTCAGTCACCTTCCCAAAGCCCTGCCTATGAAAGCATGAGGCTCTTAGGGAGCGTCTAGATATAGACCATAATGTGCAGCATGGGTGTCCCTGTGAAGAATGAGGCAAGACTTGGGGACACCCAAGCCCAGCTCTAGCCAAGGCTAAGGGACTTCTGAAGGAACTCTCCCAGTACCTCTCGGGGTGGGTACAAGATGAAGTCCCTCCCTTGGAAGATTTCTGTCCGTGTCTCCCCCCACCCCATATCTTGTGTCAAGCTTTTCTTAGAGGCCAGAGGATCCCTTTTAGTAGCTATTCATCTTTGGGAGCATAAGCAACAAGTCCAGTGATGAGTTGCTGAAGTCACTGCAATGCAGTAATTGGGACATCTGTGATACTTTGACCTGTACTGGAGTGACTCTTCTTACTAAAGCCAACTGGATCCTTGTCACCAGAATTCCCCTTTCGGAACAGATGTGTAGGTTTATGTCAGCAGGGAAGATTTACTAAAAAGGTCTAGGTCTAGACTGTGGCTACACTGGGAGGAAATACTAGGGAAGAGCTCCATGGTATGAGAAATCCTAAAGGTTATTGATGTAGATAAAGTGGGTGCATGGCAGATCTCACCAAGCCGCTCCAGAATACCTTACAAGGCTTGTTGCTATTAGAAGTGATATATTCAAAGGCTTCTACCAGCAGCAAGGGAAGCCATGCCCTGCAGGTTGAGACAGGAAAATGGCTATAGAAATGCCACCTGGGGCAGGAGATTTAGCTCAGTGGTGCCTCCACTTGCCTTGTAAAGTGCAAGGGCCTGAGTTTGATCCCCGGTACAGAAAGAGAAAGAAAAGAAAACAGAAGAGAGGAGAGAGAGAGAGGGAGGAAGGGGAGGAGAGGAGAGGGAGAAAAGAAAAAAGGTCACCCCGGGTTTCCTGACTATATTCACAACTTTCAACAACCTCCAGATCCCATTCCTCCCATTCTCAACAGAGATGAGTATTTCTTTTTTAACCTGTCTCACCTTATTAAAGATCTGTTTAAGGAAAAGGGCACGTATTGGGATTGCTATGTAGAATGGGCAGATGGAAACCAGTTTTCTTTCCAGGAGTGAGGTGATGTTCTGCTATTCCTTATGCCCCCTCCCTGCAAAAGTGGCTTGAAATCAGTGGCCATCATTTATCCCAGCATAAGGAGCCAGTACTGCTTTTCTGGCATCAGCCAAGCTTCAAGTTGTAATTTTCAGTCAGGTTTTGTTTTTTTCCTGTTGCCTAACTAAAGACACTAAAAAGATGTTTCCACTCCTGCTGCTGGGCTCCACACAGCAAACTGCATTCAACAATGAGATAGACAACAGGGTATGGTCTAAGAACAGACCAGTGGGACCTGGTTATGGTGCTGCAGTTTACTGTGGGGAAGAAACCAGGGATGTGTGAGGACGTGGAGAAAAGCTGCGCACATGAAAGTGCCATGCTGGCAGGGACCCAAGTGAGCATGTGCGCCCTTGTCCAGTCATGCAGGGGCAGACACACATTTTGTACATGGAACCATTTCTCCAGCTAGCCTTGGCAGGCCCAGGCTTGCTCCACGGGAATGGGATGCCACTGGGCACAGATCTTGGGGTGGCGACATTCATGGACTGCAGAGGCTCAGGAGTGCCCCCCGCAGCTCCACTCTGGGGACCCTGAGCATAGGACGATCACTCACGTTTTCCCCTAAAAGCAATTGTGTGGAAGTCAGCACCTTCTCTACACCCCAAACTGCTAAATGCCAGTAGGGACAAGAAATGCCCTTTCCTCACAGTCTGCTTAAGAGGACAGATGGTTGTTGACTGTGAGCTTATTAGTGCCAGAGGCCTGTGAATGTGTGTGGAGGGTGAAAGGTTTTCCAGGAAACAAGAGGCTATAGGTGGGTTTTTATATTGGTTCTGCTTTACAGCTGGGATTTCTCTTCCTGGGGGAGATGAGACAGAAGGTTCTTCACCTTCTGTGTGGAAGGACAAAGCAAGTGTGCTTCATTTTTCGAAGTGTTAAGTGTGGCTCACCCCCTGGCCTCTTGGAATACTTCCCAAGCCAGGAAATGTGCTAGTAAGTGCAGGTGGAACTTGTTCTGAGGGACAGTTAGATTTCTGTTAAATAATGTGCCAACTTGAATAAACCTCCATCCCCATGGGCGGTGTGCAGCCCAGAGTAGGCAGAAGTAGCCTCAGGTCTGTATTCCTGGGTCTCCTTCCTGACACAAATGAGGCACCCACACAGACTGCAGCTAGGACACAGTGACATGGTCATAGGACTCAGAGCCAAAATGATCATTCTTCTTTGGATACCAGAGGACATGGAAGTCCCAAGTCATGAGGGCCACTCTGCAGGCTTGCAGTCAGTATGTGCCTCCCTCTCTGTCCCAGTGGTGTGAAGGAGGCTGAGCCCGACCTTGCTGCTCCTCCTACCCAATCTCTGTTCCTTCTTACATTTTGAGGAAGCAGCAGCTTTGGCAGTGGCCCATCCATCTCCAAGGCTTCAGCTGAGAAAAGGAGTTCTTGCCTCCAACACAACTAGGAATCCCAGTATTGAGAGGGAAATGGGAAACATCAGATGCAGTGTAATCCTAGCTACTGGGAGGCTGAGGTGGATCAAAATTTGAGGTCAGACTGAGCAATGTAGCAGGACCCCCCCCACTAAAAAAAGGAAGAGCAGACCTGATCCTGATCCCATCCATGACACACTGCAATTATCAGTCATACCTGGCCATTGAGTGTTAGCACTGAGGCTTCCAGTGAGGACTTGGTCTGCAGCTGTGATGTCAGCTGCTCAGATGTGACATGCCTCCTCAGTTCAGAAACTCATTTCATCCATTCATTTGGCTTCTAGTTTATTGTTTATGCATTCACTGTGGAAAAAATATCTTGGAGTTTAAAAGTATCAATGTGCCAGGCACGTGGCACATATCTAGAAGCAGGAGGATGAAAAGTTTAAGGCCATGCTGAGCATGGTGGCACATCCCTATAATCCCAGAACTCAGAAGGCTGAGGCAGGAGGATTGCCATGAGTTCAAGGCCAGTCTGAGCTACATAGTGAGTTCAAGACCAGCCTGAACTACACAGAAAGACCCTGTCTCAAAACAAGCCAGGGATTTAGCTCAGTGGTTCTGCTGCCTGCCTGGTAGGCAACAAGGTCCCAAGTTCAATCCCCAGTAAAAAAAAAAAAAAAGTTTGAGGACACTAGGAATTTTAGCAAGCCCTGTCTCAAATTTTTTTTTTAAAATAGAAAAAAAAAATGGCTTGAGGGTGTAACTCAGCGGTAGAGCACTTGCTTGGATTTGTGAAACCCTGTTTGGGTTTGATGCCAGTACCCCCCCACCAAATGCCACACATGCCTTCTTAAAAAATTTAAAAGCACAAGAGAAGTCTGCTGTTGACGGAAGAGGCAGCTGGACCCAGTGGGGGAGGACCAGGTCCAGCAGCACAGCTGTAGGTTTTCAGCACCAGCTGGGGAACCTTGGGCAGGTGCTGTTTTGGGATCTCTGTGTGGGGAACGGCAAAGGTGGAGCTGCAGCTCAGCTTGGATGGCAGACACCTAGAGTTGCCCTGAACCCTGGGGCAAGTGATAGAAGGTGCCCAGCTATGTCTCTCCTGTGGGTCTTTTATGACCAGGGTTCTGCACAGGAGTGAGCAGCTGGGGTGAGGGAAGAAAATGGTTTCTGACCTCCTTGCCCTGCAGCACTAACTGAAGGGCCGTGTGTGGCTCCCAGTGTGACTCAGGTTCACTGGGGCATCAATGTCTGCCCAGCTGCTCTGCCAAAGGCTCTGCCACAGAGGGAAGCTGGGCCAGTTCTGCCTCGTCCCATCTCTTGAGTTTTTGGTAGTGACTTCCTGAACTTTAGATTCTTACTTGTGCAAAATTATGAGACAATGTGCATGGATCTCTGACACCTCTGGGTGTGCTCTGTGCTGGAGACTGGACTCCATCCTTCTTTCCCTGACTTTTTAACAATTTAAATCCAGAAAAAATCCTGACCCTTCCCAGCAGCTTTGAGAGCCATTTCTGAGGTATGGCCTTGCCACCTTGTGGCAGAAACCAGTATTACGGCGGTGTCTCAACAAAAGGCGGGAGCTTGGCTAGCATTTGATGACGTTTATCTTTGAGTCAAGCAGTTTTTCATGTCCTATGCTACTCACTTTTATTCTTGTTTACTCTGAAAATGGTGACAGAACAAGTGCTGGGCTCAAAACTGAGAATACATGACTGATTTTCCAGTATTACTCAGGAAATACTGTAACCACCACTTGGGCCCTAATAGTCATTCAAAAGACAGCAGTTTACCTCCTGCCCCTCCTCCTCGACCCCAGGCTAAATCATACCCATGAATATAAAAAAGAACTCAGGCGCTGTGTGAGCCACTGACTATAGAATGAATAACATGTAGTTTTTTGCTCTGACACCCATGAGAAAGTAGATGGTTCGTTCTCTCATTTTTATTTTGTAATAAAACCCAGCAGGAGCACAATCCAGAGATACAAATTGTAGGATATCGGTTTCATGCTGGAAAGATAAAGTCCTCCATTTAGTAACTTGTTTCTTAGCACACTTTTAAGGTGTTGAGGGGGAGACCACAGCCTCTGTGGAGTGGTAGGAATTCTCCAGGCTGCCTTCCAGGGTGAGCCTGCTGGTGTGACAGTTAACTGCACTCTTTTCAGCTCAGCAAGTCTGCCAACTGCTCATGGGCAGCAGCGCCGAAGGCTCTGGGCACATCTACTTTCTGAAAGTTGACCAGGGACTTACGGCCATTCCACTCTCAACACACCTGATCTTTCTGAAAGCTGACCAGTGATGATGGAATCTCCAGAATCTGTGCCCCCCCAGAGTGTACATGGGGGTGTCCTTGGCAGGCCCAGAGTGAAGCATGGCACCCCAGTTGCGGTTCAGGCTGGCCAGTCTGGAAGGATGCTGCCAACCAAACTGAAAACTGCAAACATCCGTAGCAATGCCACCTGCCACTTGGGGCACTGAGCATACCTGACCCCTTGGTTCTCCCAAAAGGCACTTTTACTAGGGACCTGGGGGAACAAAAGGAAGGATAACATGTTTTATCTTGAGCATTTCAGCACTCAACATCAGAATGAGCAGCTGAAGGACCTCCGGAGAATCCAAACCATTACTAGAGCTACTGTATCAAAGGGACGTGGTAAAACTATTTTCCTAGTGTTGCCTTTAACTCCAACCCTGTTCTTTGTGGTTACAAAAGCAGTGTTTGGCCTGGTGTGGTGGTGCATGCCTATAATCCCAGTACTTGAAAAACTGAGGCAGGATTGCCTTGAGTTCAGGGCCAGCATGACATAGCAAGACCCTGTCTCAGACAAAACAAAAAAACGTTTGGAGGAGTCCCACTCTCCAATCCACCCACCCCTTCCCACAGTTGCCCACAGACATGGTGACTAGCATCAGATATAGTGACTACCTCACATCCCTGACAGGCACCTGGTAAGGATCCAGCCTGCGCTGGTTCCCTGGAGTTTTGAGCGAACAGCAGGGTCCTGTAGCAGTGTTTTGTGCCAAGGGACCCAAGATCTTAGAACCTTGGCCACCCTTCCCTCGAAGGAACCCTTTGTTCACACTGCGTCCAGGAACACTGGAATTTTCTTGAGTTCTATCTTTGTGGAAGGAAGAGGACTACAAATTAAATAAGTATATTACATTGATGTTACATTTTGTTGTTTCTGGGACAAAATACTCAATACCTGCAACTTAAAGGAGGACAGGTTTATTTTGGCTCTCAGTTTCAGTGGATTCAATCCATGGTTGGCTGGTTTCATGGCACAAACAGCATGGCAGAGCAAAGCTATTCACATAGCAGTGAGGAAGCAGAGAGGGAAGGGAAAAGCTGGGGACAAGAATACACTGTTCCAGGTCACATTCCCAGTGACTTCTAACAGCCCACTCAGCCACAAACTCATTAAAGGACTCATCCACTGCTAAGTATATCGCCCTCAGATCCAATCACCTGCAAGTCCTCCTCTGAGTACGTGAGACTTGTAGGACAGGCTAGATGTAAACCATAACAAGGACTTGTTACAGGAGAAAGCTACTTAGAGCTCTCCTGACAAATGCAATGTTAAGTCACAGATTTTAAAACTCAATTTCTTTTCTGCATAGTTCTCAAATTTGGAGAGTTGACAAGGTATGAGACCACTTGATGAATTAACCTTTTCTGCTGTTTGCCAGGGAGAGAAACAGTCGCTGCTGTAGTGAGGGCCTGAACAAACAACCCGAGACTGACAATCCAGCCCCCCCAAAACAGCCAGCTGGTAAATTCCATGACCTACAGCCTACTAGTCTCTGAGCAATGTTCTCATCACTAGGCCAAAGATGAAAAGACACTTAAATGAAACTTTTTAATGTAATCTCCGGTTCTGTACTTCATAAGAGTTTATTTTCCAATGACCAATGATCAGATGAGAGTGACTCAGCCATGGCTTATAACCAGGGCTTTGTAGCTGTAAGACACCCCCCAGCTGGTAGAGGGAATTCTCTACTGACCAAGACGATGTCTTGGGAAACTCTGGACAAAAAATACTCCTTAGTAACTGTTTTTTGAGGTGCTGGGGATAGAACGCAGAGCTCTGTGCATGCTAGCCAAGTGCTCTACCACTGAGCTATATCCCAGCCCTAATGGGTAGTTTTAAAAATAGGTATATACCGAATCATGGATCATCCATAAGCCTCAAAAACTGGTGGTGATGGGAGATCTTATGGAGAATTATGACCTTTGTTGTTTATGATGAAAAGAAGAATCTTCTATAGAAATGCTTACTGCTCCAATAACCATATGGCAGTAATGCCTACTTCCTGCCTCCTGCATGTAGCCTGGGAAGCCACAGTTGCCAACTGTGTCAATCTCCTAACACTGTGCCAGGGAAGAAGCTACAGGCATCCTCTCAGTGGTAACTCCTGTCCCTGCTCAAGTGTTCTGCCCTTACCCGTAGCTGTCTTTTCCCTTCAAAGAGCAGGATGCTCGCAGCCATGGCCGAGTTCAGGCTGTCCACACCAGGCACAACAGGGATCAGCAGCCTCTTGCCCCCCGTGCTCTCGGCCAACTGCAGGGACTCCAGGCTCACACCATGGGTCTCCCCACCTACCACCACAGCTGCAGGTGCCTCTGTCCAGTCCAAGTCATAATTCTGCACCTCGAGATCAGGGAGCCAACCTTTATTGGCTCCGGTCTCTAGATCCTTGTCTTCCTCTACCTCCTCCTCGTACTTGTGAAACTTCAGGAATCGTTGATCACACACCCAGCCATGGTCACTCGCTTTGTTAGACATCTGGGCCTGGGTGTAGAGACCACAGTTGTCTGCCACGTAGACCCTGGTGTCAGGGGGCAGATAGTTGGGAACTGATTCCCACTCCAGATTGTTGATAATGGGCACCTGGAAATGTGCCCCCATCCCTGCCCGTAGGACTTTGGGCTCCCAGACATCCACACAGCCTAGAAAACAGAGTGGTTACAATCAAGACTTCACAAACCTTCCCAGACTAGAAAACCTCAGTAAATCAGATTAATTTTGATGAAAACAATTTTTTGCATGAAAGCCTTCTCAAGAGCTGGGACCTTCCAGAGCCACCTAAGTGATGGCAGCATCCAGCAAGGGACTATAGGATTACTCCCTGCTAGTGCTCAAAACAGACTTTGTCCATCCCTTCAACACTGTCCATACAAGTGTCCAACACTATGGAAGGGATGTGAACAATTAATACCATCTCTAAGGACTCAAAGCATAGTGGGTGGTTGTGGTGAGCAGACAATATTTAATCAGATGGTGACAGTAATAGCCAGGTGTGGTGGCGCACGCCTGTAATCCCAGCACTTGGGAGGCTGAGGCAGAAGGATCACTGTGAGTTAGAGACCAGCCTGGGCTACATAGGTGAGTTCAAGGCTAGCCAGGACTATAACAGACCCTGTCTTAAATAAAACAAAACAAATCACTAGTGAAAAGTGATATGAAATCATGAGCAAGGTAAGTGAAAACTTGTGTAAAATGGGACTTTCAGGAAAACCATCAAAAATCTACGAAAACATGACACTGTGCTGACTCTTTGGTGCTTTTCAGAGAGGACTCGGCAGAGGACAAAGTCAGAAGAGGCAGAGTACTAAGGCCTAAGACCTGTAAGCAGGCAAGAGGCCAGCTGATGTGGGGCTGTGCTGGGAAAGAGAGTGGGCAGGCAGCTGTCAAGATAAAGGAAGCTAAGCTGGGGAGTCTGGGGTTTTTTTTGTTTTTTTCGAGAAAGGGTCTCACTCTGTAGCCCAGGCTGGCCTCAAATTCTCGGCAATCTTCCTGCCTCAGGCTTCTAAGTGCTGGGAAAACAGGCATGCGCCAGCACGAGTTTGGACCGACTGATAGATTGATGCAGTACTGGGGGTTGAACCCAGGATCTTTTTACTGAACAATATCCCCAATTCTTTCTTTTGAATTTTTAAAATTTTAGACAGGACTTAATAAATCACTAAGTTACCCAGCAGGCTGAGCTTGCTTCAGTCTTCCAGAGTGCTGGGATTACAGGGTGCACTACCATGCCCAACCGAAGTTTGGGATTTTATCAGATGGCAATATAATGCCACTGAAAGACTGTAACCAAAACAGTGACAGAACCTTATCAGTGTTTTACAAAGACCCACTTGGCTTCAATGTTCACTCCAGATTGGGAAAGAAATTCTCCATGCTAGAGATAACAAATGAGGTGAGTGCAGCAATCCAGGGTAAAGAGGAGCCTTAACCACTCAGCACCCTCTCATACTGCAGAAGGAGACCAGAGGAACCTACTCCTTCACACCATCACATGCCAGGCCTAACCGCTCCTGTGTGTTGGCTGCCTGGCAGACATTTGAGTTTTCTGAGTCTGCTCTCACCATGGGCATGAGAGATGGCGTGACCAGGGTACCGCACCATGGCTGCATCACACACTTGCCATCTTCCCCTAACTTGTTAGCACAGACCTTGTTACTTTATTTTTGTTTTGTTTTGGTACTGGGGATTGAACTTGTGTCCTTGGCCTTGCGAGGCAGGCAGCAGCACCACTGAGCTGGGGAGCCCTCATGTTACTTTAAATTGTTCTGTCAAACTTAGGTAGATTAACCAGGCAGAGTAGCTTAAAAATGGAGACCGAGACACAGATATTAGAGTTCCCACATGCAATTCCCACACACAGGCTTTATCACACGCTGCAGGAAACCAGAGATGGGAGGTGGGCTACAGGCCAAGAGAGGAAGGGACTAGAAGAATGGCCCAGATTTGTGACAGGAACTGTAGTCTGACCCCTTTGTCTAGTGGGGAGTAAAGAAAAGGTGACACTTCTCTCCTTGCATCCTTACACTGGGGACCACAACAAGCATGTCCTACCCCTTTCCCTACCTTTTGAATACCATCCACAGCCATCTTGTGAAAACCACACTGCCTGGATTATATAAATATTTCCAAAATCATACCTGCTATCATAGCACTCAACAAGTGACGTACTGGCTATGGAACCACAGGACCTAAGTCTCACACTGGCAGAGAAATACACTCCAACAGGGTACGACCGGAAGAATTGAAAGAAGCAACCCAGGCAAATTTCAATGACTGTCACTATTAGTTTGTTTAATGGTAGCTTAGGTGATTGTGAGGAATGATACTCTCCCGCCCCTCCACTCCCAAGGTGTAATAGGCACTTTCTTCATGTCCCATTCGTTTGGCAACTCTAATTAGAGCCAAGTCGAATAACCTCCATTTCTGATGAGGACAGAGGTAATGAGATTAGTGTGAAGTGTGTGACCCATCCCGAGGCTGAGGGAAAGGTGTCACCAAGGCACAGTCACACTGTTGACAGCTTTCCTTTCATAGGACTCAGAATTCAAAGGTTAGGAAGGTTTCATAGATTCAGCAACTTGGGAACACAAGCTCATTAAATGTAGGACCTAAAACCAATGTTAAAACTGGCACCTGCATTTTACCCTTATTAATTTTTAAAATCTTTAATAACCTAGCAGGTTTCAAAATAATTTTAAAAGATAAATCAACATTTACTGGATCACATATTGTCTCAGGCAGTGCAAAGTACTTTATTTGCATCATCTCAAGTAATTCTCAAAACTCCCTGAAGAGAAAGCCAGGCATAGTGACACATGCCTCTAAGCCCGGCACTTGGGAGGCTGAGGCAGGATTGCCACAAGTTCGAGGCCAACCTGGGATACATAGTGAGTTCAAGGCCAGCCTTAACTACATATCAAGACCCTGTCTCAAAATATACAAAAACAAAATTCCTATGAAGAAATTGTATGATTTCCATTTTATCAATAAGGGAACTGATACTTAGCATACTGCTCATGGATACAAAACCAGTAAGGGGCAGATCCACAATTTAGACTCATACATATCCGCCCAGAGCCCTGGCTCACTTAAAAATGGCCAACCAGTCCACCTGGCGATAGGTGCTCTTACCTTTGGTGAGTAACACTTTGCTGCAGCCTGCCCCAGCTGCAGATCTCAGAACTGTACCTAGGTTCCCAGGGTCACGGAGATTGTCACAAATTAACAATAAAGGTAGTGAATGGTGAAGCTGAGTCTCTGGATATGTCATCTTAACAGAGTCAGGTTTGGCAAATATCCCTAAGGAAAGAACACAGGAAATTTACTTATCTGATGTGGGCACTGGTAATAATTTGAATTTCCATTTACTTATCATTCTATATGTGTTATTAACTACACACGCAAAAATATATAAATATATCCTGGCCGAAAAAACTGAAACAACATAAAACTCCACAATTGCTAATCCCCTCCCTGCTCCACCTGTTTTTCAATCTTGGAGAATATCCTTTTAGAACTTTATGCATTTATCTACATATAGGCACATTTCTTTTTCAACATAAATCAAGTATATGTGCTATTCTGTGATCTACTTAATATACTTAATAGCATGTCTGGAAAACCCGTATCAGTACATTTGGAACTACCTTACTATAACTGCTGCATATTATTTGGTAATATAAATGTACTGTGGTAATTTGGCTCTTCTACTGACAAATAATTTTAAAATTTCCATTACACATAAATATCACTTATGACTATGTACATGTCTGAACATCTCTCTAGGACAAACACCTGTGAGATGGACAAATAGTGTATAGGCACTTTTAATGTAAATAAATGACACCAAAGTGCCCTCTCCAAGGGCTATTCTAGTTTACCCATGTCTGGGACACATATAAATACCTGTTTCCCAGCTCAAACCCTATTACTGAGTATATGATGTTTCAATTTTTGCCATTTTGATGGGGGAAACACCATTTCCTTTATTAACTTGTAGTTTTGCTATTAGGCTAAGTATTTTAAAATAATTTATAAATTTAGCTGAGCATGGTGGCATACACCTATAATCTCAGCGCTCAAGAGGCTGAAGCAGAAGGATAACCCTGTGTTCAAGGCCAGCCTGAAGTACCTAACAATCTGTAAAATTAACCTAAACATTTAAAACCAGTTACCAGTCTGCTCTCTCTGACTTGAGACTTATCTCTCCTTCACTGCTTGTTTTAAAATTCAAACTACATTCCCAGAAAAAATGATGTGAATTCAAAAACTTTGAATGCATCAAAATAATGACTCCTTCTTCAAATACCTCAGCTCAGAAGCATTATTATTATTATTGTTGTTGTTGTTTTGTTTAGTATCAGGGACCGAACTCGGGTCCTTGCACTTCCAAGGCAGATGACGGAACCACTGAGCTAAATCCCTGGCCCTCAGAAGCATTATTTAAGGAACACACTCTGCAAAGATTGCAGACTAAAGGGATTATAAGTGTACTGTGGGACTAAGTTACTTCTAAGACCTAATGCTAGAGGTCCAGATGCTTGAGGGTTTTAGATCAACCACGGCCATATTTACCTAGTGACTTCTCTGTCCTTAGTCTAATATAAGGGAATACAAATGGGCTTGGGGATGTCTGGAAAAATGAAAACAATAAGTGGCATTCTTAGTGAAAATTTATTTAATAATCTCTACATTGTACTCACCAGCTTAAATTTGTTTTTTGTTTTTTGTTTGTTTTTTTTTATACCAGGGATCGAACTTGGGTCCTTGTGCTTACAAGGCAGGAGGCAGAACCACTGAGCTAAATCCCTGGCCCTCCAGCTTAAAAGTTTTATGGAAAATGTTTAGGGGAAAAGGGAAAAACTGGAAAAAGGTAAATATTAAAATAAAAATTACCTTAAGAGTATATGAAATTTCTCTGATGTACATGAACTTAATTCTCATAGATGTACTATATATCCACAGCAAGATTCTTTGAGCTGGTGAGTTGATAACAGTAATAACATTTTCTTTAGGTCAGATACTGTTTTATATAAAT